TTTATGTCAACTTGACACAGCTAGAGTCATCTGAGAGAAGGGAGCCTCAATTGAGAAAATGCCTCCATAAGATCAGGCTGTAGGAAAGCCTGTAGAGGGTTTTTAATTAGTCATTGACATGGGCAGGCCCAGCCTACTGTGAGTGGGGCTGTCCCTGAGCTGGTGGTCCTGGGTTCTATAAGAAAGCAGGCTGAGAAAGCTATGAGTAGCAAGCCAGTAAGCAGCACCCCTCAGTGATGGACTATGATGTGGAAGTGTAAGCCAAATAAACCCTTGCCTTTGGGAACCCTCGCATGCTATACAGGAGTTCTGCTTTCTCTATGTCTCTTTCTAAAGTACCTACCTAAAAATCTAATAAACTCAAAAAAAAAAAAAAAACTTTTTAAATCTACATGTAGTTTTAATTTATCTGTTTTTGGTCACTTAAAATCCAATAGTACATTATTTATCATGTATCCATTTTATTTGTTTGTTTGTTTGTTTGTTTTTCCAGACAGGGTTTCTCTGTGTAGTTTTGGAGCCTATTCTGGAATTCACTCTGTAGACCAGGCTGGCCTCAAACTCACAGAGATCCACCTGCCTCTACCTCCCAAGTGCTGGGATTAAAGGCGTGTGCCACCATGCCTGGCCCAATAATACATTATTTATAATGGGAGTCTTAGAAACTCATTGAAGCATCATAGTTTAACATAAACATATGATCAATATTTATAAATATTCTAGGGATACTTGAAGAAATGTTCTATATATTTCCACAGGAGATTCTTTTAATAGTGTTTTTTAGATATTCTCTATATCATTACTGCTCTGTGAACCTGGTTCATCAAATATTGAGAAAAGTACATTGAAAATACCCATTATCATCATGAATTATTAATGTCTCTACTTAGTTCTTATGTAATTATAAAAAAATACCTCCTTAAAATGTATGCTACTGGATACAGTCCAAAATTGTACAATGCTGCTGAAATAAATACAATCAGGTAAGGGTGAATTTTAGTTTATTTTTGTCTCATTAGAATATCCAAACAACAATCCTTAGCTACATATAGTTGACTTATCTATTTCTATCATTTTGCATTCAGTCATACTATAGCCTTATTTTAAAGTATCTGTCCTTTTAATTTATTTTGTTTTTTGTTTTTTGTTTTTGAGACAGGCTCTTATTATATATCCCTGGCTTCTTTGTAGATCAGGTTAGCCTTGAGCTCACAGCAATCTGCCTGCCTCTGCCTTAGAGTGCTGAGATCAAAGGTATGAATCATGACTCCTCACAAGGTATAGATCTCTTTTAAGTAAAGCCAGCTAAATTTATTTTAACCTAGTCCTTGTCTTCCAACTGGAAATGTTGTCCAATTACAGTTTTTGCAATTGATGTATTTAGGTTATTTTTACCACTTTTCATATACTTTTCTTTGCACTTTTTGTGCATTCTTCTCTAATAAATTTTTTCTCACCTTGTTCTTTTAGATTAACTTTTATTTAATTCTAGTTTTTTATTTCTGCAAGACATTTCATTATGTAGTTAGTCATTTTACCCTTTTAATGCTACATTAGCAATCTCTACATGTATAAATAATAAAGTCTAAAATTATCATCATTCTCTTCCATTCCAAGAACATAAGGACTTTAGAATATTGTGTCTCAAACACCATCCCTTCCCTGTCTTGCAACTGCCCTTTTTAACAACCATACTTTTTATAGGTGACTTTAAAATGCTTATACTGACTTATCTCTTTTCCTTTCTCAGCTTTACTGTTCCATTTCATAGATCACATCTTCCATAAGCTATCATTTTATTTCAGAACAAATTTATTCTAAGCATTTCCCATAGGAAAAGTCAAGTGATGGTAATTCAGTCTTTAGTTCCAACAGTCTAGCTGAGATCACTTTATTATAAACTTTTAACTCAGGAGTATTCAATCCAATACTCAGCCATCTACAGTTTGACCTGATCATAAATAGACCCTAAAAATTTTGTTGTAAACTACAGTTTTGAAAAAACCCTACACTTGGGCAATTGTTTGAAAAGATTTACATTCTCTGGAAATGTTGAAGAAATACATGACTCACAACTCAATTCTGTGGGCAGTGGGGGTGGGGCAGAGAATGGAGTGAGGATTTTGTTTGTAGCTCACCTTTACATTGTGGATCTTTCTTCTCCTATCCAGCTTTATATAGAAACGCTAGATGTGGGTTTTTACCTTGCTCAGGATGATGCTCTGGATGAGGTCCTTGGGTCTTGCAAGTCCTGTGAAAACCAAACTCCGGGTCACTTAGGTTTGGCAAGCCTTCTGAGATAGGCAGATAGATAGAGCCCCCTTCCAGCACTTAAACACATTTCTGGATTTCTGGCTTCCCTGGATCTTTTGGCTTCTGAAGTTTCCATTCACTTTCTCATTAGCTTGGTGGTGCAATTAGAGCATCTTCAAATATTGCTTATGAAGTATGTATGCTACAGCCAGGGGCTGTTCTCAAGGTTTGTGCTTCATGTTGCCAAAATCGATACACCATACTACTGATGACTTACAGAAGGCCTCAAGAACAGTGCTCTGTCCCTGGCTCTGATAATCCACCAAACTGAGGGACCCTGGACACTTCACTCAGCCTTTGGTTTTTGTTTACTTGCTAGAAGCACCTGAGGGCTCCTTTTAAGACCCTTAAAAGATAAATGACTGGCCGGGCGTTGGTGGCGCACGCCTTTAATCCCAGCACTCGGGAGGCAGAGCCAGGCGGATCTCTGTGAGTTCGAGGCCAGCCTGGGCTACCAAGTGAGCTCCAGGAAAGGCGCAAAGCTACACAGAGAAACCCTGTCTCGAAAAAAACAAAAAAAAAAAAAAAAAAAAACAACAACAAAAAAAAAGATAAATGACTTCAAACTTGCATAACCTCCTTAGGGAAAAGATTTAGCATTCTTAAAAAACCTTTAAGTTTCTAATGAACTTAATGAGATTAAGACTTGTATTAAACAAGGTATTGGCCCATACTGTCGCATGTAAGTTGCAAATCAAAATCTAATAATTACTTCAGAGTTTTTACTTTCCTTTGAGGTGCATTTTAACTAAATCCATTACTTTTCTAGCAAAAAACGTTCTTACCAGTAGCAAATATTTTAATCGACTCCCCAAAGAAGTTTTTTTCTTGTAACAAGACTGAAATAAAACTATGACATTGTTCTTAACAAGTCTGAAAAGGCTTCATTAATGACTCTTTAATTAAGAAAAAAATCAATTGCCTTTCAATTTTTAGCTCAAAGTTTATAACTGTAATAAATAAATAAGTGTAACCTAGTTTCCACTGTTATTAAAACATTCTCCAGGGCTGCTCAAATACTTACCATGTTAAGGCCCAGAGTTCAAGCACCTCCCATAGGTTGAAAGAGGTATTCCTGAATCTTGTGGATATGCTAGATAACCTTACAAAATAATATTATGTTTAACACTTTAATGTAAATTGAAAAACAAAATCTAACTAGAAACATTCATCTAGGTTATGACCAAACATATGAGCTTAATTTTCATTTCTAGTTGAAACATGATTTTTTTGTAATATTATAACCAAGCTTCCTTCTCTACCCAAATTCATTACTATGCTAATCAGAAATGCATTAAACTTTTAATGCTCATGGATCCACATGAAGAAATTGAGAACTAGTGCACTCATTCTCTCTATAGATAGATAGATGATATAGATCTATACATATATATACTCTCTCTAAATTATATATATATATATATATACATATTTTCTCAACTTGTTTTAGTTCGATGTTATGTAAAATTTAGAGGTTTGATAATTTAACTGAATATAATAAAAACTAAGCACAAGGGTGCTAGAAAATGTAGATTTCTCCCTGAATGAATTTGATTAAGTCTCTTTTCTATGCATTGATCCTCTGCAAAAATAAACAATCTGAGTCAAGACGACCTGGGTTCAAATTCCATTTGAGATGCTTCCCAGAGTGTTAGCCAAGCTGCCTATGCTTATCTCTGAGAAATTGCACATCACTGTTAGCTGAGCCACGAGGACTAAGTTGTGTAATAGCCTCAGAGAAAGAGTGAGGCATGGAGACTTCTATTTAAAGGCCACATATTGAACTCACTCACATCAACTGAATTACTGAAAGACCCCTTCACCTTTTCTTGAGATGTCTTTTCATAGTATTCCACTTACTATTTCATTAACATGCATTACCTGTTCTTGTTTTTAGCTTTTTTTTTTTTAATCTTAAAAAAAAAAGCATAAAGTTGGTTAGGGAAAAAGGAATAAGACATTTTGAAGTTAAAAAAGATCATTTCAAGTTCAGAAAACGGTGTTTCCGTGTTATTTAAAACTACGGTGCATGTGTGTTATTTAAAACTTGTGATTCCAAACTATGTATGTACTTGGCGTTGAATAACTAAACTGAAATCCCGGAAGAAGGAAAGAAAGAAAAGAAAAAAAAAAACTTGAAAAGTTTAGCCTCTCTGAGCTTTTGGTTATAATAGCTGTTACAGTTTCCATAAAATATTTGCTTCTGCCAAAGTTAGTCTTTCTTTGATAAATAAACTTCAAGAAGGATCTCAATGTCTTAAGTGAATGAGAAGCACAGACACACAGGGGAGAGAGAGAGAGAGAGAGAGAGAGAGAGAGAGAGAGAGAGAGAGAGAGAGAGAGAGAGAGCCAAAACACAAACATACACACGGGGGGTGGGGGAGGAGAGAGGTGAGGAGAGGAGAGAAGGAAAGAGAGAAAATAAGACATTGAAAAGGAAGAAAGGAAGGAGAAAGAAGTAAGAGGGAAAACATAGAAAGAGCAAGAGTGTGTGTGAGAGAGAAGCCCCATGGTCTTGGTCGGTTGGAGAATGAGAGCCTGCATCAGCTCTCAGAATCCCAGAGAGACAGTGTATTGTTGTCTTGAAAGCCACAAAGCTAAACAATTCCAAGAATGTCTGGCAAAGCCCTTTTGGGAAGGGCAAGGTGGGGGACTAACTGGGAGGGGGAACCCCCTCCGCCCCTTTACACGGTGTGATAGGATTTGGGAGACCTGGCGGAAACCTTCAGGTCACCCAAGGAACTGCTCTCGCGGCTGGTCCTGTGCGGCGAGGCGGGGGGTGAGCGCGAGGCGCGCGGGGCGCGGAGATGTGCAAGTGGCGAAGCTGGACCGAGTGCAGGCGTAAGCTGCAGAGCGGCCACGGCGAGGGGTGAGTCTCGGGGTGAGGGTCCGAGGGATGCGGGCTTCCCCGGCGCTCTCCCTCCCCGAGCCCTAGCGGGGCCTGGAACCTCCCGTGACTCCGGCCTCGGCTCCTGTGCGCGCGCGGCGCTCCGGCGCACCCTGGGGACGCACGGAGCGGTGGGTGCTCTCCCGGGCTGGGGGCCAGCCTGCCCACCGCCGCCCCGGCCGGCGCTCTCATTGGTCGGGATGTGTCTGCTCAGCAGCCTCCAACTTCTCCCCAATCCCACTGGTGAGTCACCGGAGAGCGAGCAACCCGGCACCGGGGTCCCCAGGGCGCCGGGAGCCCGTGGGACGGGCAACAGGAGGACGGAGCGGGCGGGGGCCAGGGCGCGCGGGGCAGGGACAGAGGCCGAGGTCCCGCGCGCGAGCGGACGCCCGGAGCCCGGCCGCCGCGGGCGGAGGAGGCGTGTCCTGGGCGGGAGCCGCCACTGGGACCTGAGAATGTGGGGAGGGGAAGGGACCGAGAGGGCGACCTGGAGGAGGGCCCTGCGAGTGATGTCAGGTCACCTCCAGGTTCATTTTCATAGCTCCCTGCAGCCTCCGCCTGGGAGTTATGTTTGGTGACCGAGAGCAGCGCTACCAAATTGCACCGGGGTTGATTTGGGGGCTGGGAATTGGCCATTCCGCTGTACAGACACTGATTTTTTTAAAAGCAAGGTTTGTTTTCATTTTAGTTCCTATCGGATTCTCTCCTCAATTAACTCACTTTTCTAGTTTTCAATTTTCTTAACCTAAATGTCTGTTCACGATCCCATCTCTTCATCGCGCTTTGAACCTTGGCTTCCTATTATATAATTCATGCTTAAATCTCCCAGAGGGTTGGCTGGCGCGGGGTGGGGGGTGTTCTTTTGTAGATGGAAGTTTTTAAAGACCCCTTCTTACTTAACCTATCCCGAGCTATTTATAGTCTTTAAAAACAAGAGTAACTCTAACCGGGTATTCCTCTGAGCCTCTCGGTCAAGTCTATTCCTTGTCTATAAGCGGTTCACATGGATTTTATTAAACTGAAAACTAGTAACTGGCTTGCGGTGTCAGCGTTGTGAAGCTGCTATCGGCGGCAGATTGGCCATGAGAGAATGTAGTTGCACTCTCTTGGATTTTTTTCTTCTTTCGTTCAAGCTCTCAAAAAATGTGTGGCTGTAATTTGGACTCGATGTTGTGTGTCTTCGGTTGTATGGCTACACTGTACAGGAGAGCATTGTGGATGGGACTTTTCATAACTCACTTCAGGCCAGGGAAACACCTCTTAGTTAATGTCCTGGGAAACACACTTTTTTTTCTGAATACTCCTTTCCTCTTCAGCTTCCACAGACACAATCTAAACAAGAAACCGGCTGCTTCTTACTCTGCCTCAGTTTCCATTAACGCAAACTGTAATTCCAACGCACCATTACAGACACTTACAAACATAAGTATTGTAATGTATCATAATATGCCCTGAGGATGGAAATTACTTCGCTCCACCTTTCTCTTTAACTGGTCTTTTATGTTTCATGATTTGATGGTTTGTTGATGCTTTGAGATGCATCTCATACTCAAGCAAAAATAATATTGTATTCTTTTGCCAATGTTGCCATGCTGAAATTTGTGGGGTTTCTGTTGAGTCTGAACTCCGGATTCTCTGTTCTCTTTTTGTCTGTTCTGGTATTTGCTTTTTAATTTAAGTGCTTTAATGTAATTCCAGTTCAGGTGAAACATTTTAAGAACCTAGGCATGCTTTTGCATATTCTACTGCAAGCATTGACTTCACACTGTGCTTGTGTTCTGGTCTGCCTGTCTCCCTGTCTCCCTATCTTTTAAAGGTGTTTGGGTGTGGTTAGATTGGCTCTTTAGGTAACTGAAGATTTATGATGCATTCCACCTTGAGGTATTCTGGCCCAAGTTTCCCTTAAAAAAAGATAATAAGTCATCTGGAATGAACTGGAAATGAATGACAAAGATAATTAGAAGGTTAAAGTTGTGGCATTTTTGCTTTTGACCAATGTCGAAAAGCACTACTAAGAGACAAAAAGGGGAATTCTCTGAAGAATTTGCAAAATATTTCCATCAACCTCTCTAGTTGATCAAAGTTTAATTCAAAGATAGTTTTCCCTTGATGCAGGTAAAAGGACTAAACAGTTTGTGTACATTACACTATTAATTTCTCTGCAACTATTCCTGCAGCCTTAGGTGCCTAGCTCTTCAGAACCCAGCTACCTTTTTACCCTGGTCTAGGGTAAGAGTGGGGGCCAGGGAGCAGTAACCCAGAACTGAGAAAGAAATGCCCACCTCCTGGCTTTCCCTCACCAGGAAGCTTGGTGGTGCCAGAGAGCACTTTGCCTGTAACCAAGTGCTTGCCGGGCTCTGAGCTGGACTTGACAGACTCACTGGCACTGATTGGGGCTTCTAAAAAGGACAAAAACAAAAATAAACAACAGCAGCAACAACAACAAAGACAGCAAGAAATTTTTAAAAAGCAGCTTTTTCTTTGCCAACAGAACATTTAAGGGCAGTGGAGATGTGATTAATATTCAAACGTTTTAGGGGTTCAGGGGAAACTGCTCTTCATGTTTACTTCTCTGTTCAGAGTCAAAGTATTAAATTTGTACCTGTCTTTTCTTTGCCCAGCCACCACTACTATTAAAATAGTGATACGATCAATGCAATTCTATATCATCACTCCAGGAGCCTCGAGGCTAAGCTAACATGAGTTACATAACCATTAAATAAGACATTTCAACACTCAGGTACATTACATTCCACTTTTATTGAACAGACAAGGTTTTCATTGTCCAGTAAAGTATTTTTATGTCATAGTCCTTGCTTATAACGCCATGTAACCAGGAGGACAAACTGCTCAAGACTTTGTATCCAGTCTCTTAATGTCCATGTGTGGTTTATTATTGATAAGTCACTAAAGAGAACACATCCCTACTTGTCTGCTGACTCTCCTCAGTGACACCACAGATTTAGAGTCACTTGCTCCCTGTGTCACTCTACTTTGAGTACCTCAGTTTCTAGAAAACGCACCCCTGAGGATTTGTATCTAGTCACATAAAGTCTTTACTGATCAGAAAGTCTCTGAGCAATTATTTCCTCTAAGAGCCGCATTCTATGGTTAATTTGTATTGAGCCATGAACAGCTAGCATGTTGTTTAAAGCATTCTTTCCTGAAGTCACACAGGAAGATTGACCTCTATTGAAAGCTTTGCTCAGTGTTTTTTTGTTTTTGTTGTTTTTTTAGAGAACCACCAAGTCTCCTAAAGAAACCATGGAATCTAATACTTGGCCTTGTATGCCCTCAGTTTTTCACCATAAACATCTGTAACAATGTCTAAAGTAGCTTCTACTTTAAATGGCACTATTACATTTGAAGCAGAGGCCAGATGGTTATGTAGAATATTGATTAGCTGTGTCAGCTTGAGCAAGTTAACCGACTCCTCTGTATCCCAGCTTCCCCCAGTTGGAGAACTGGAGTAGCAGCATCCACTCTGTAGGGATTAACAAAGGAAATGAGTAAGACACTAACACCTGGAAAAAACTCCAGAAACCCCACCTACAGTTAGAAGTGTTGATATTTTTAACTTAATTACAAGTTAACTGTATATTTAACAAGTGATACCCTGACCTACAAAGGAGAATTTATTTAATCATGTTTGTTTTCTCTCTTTCAATTGTACAAAAAAAAAAAAATACTGATGTGATAATTATCTTTCTTCCTGAAATATAAGCCACTTTTTTTTATCCATTGAGTGACCATTTTCAGAATTCCATCTAGCCAGTTAATAGACACCCTTATCTGAAGGGGAAGTTATTTTGAACTTTAAAAATACAAGTTGTTTTCAAAGTAAAACAAACTTCTCCAAGTGCTTATTCCTTTTGATTTTAGCTGTATTTGCACTTTTATATTATTGCTTAGTCAAAACCTCAAGGTATTAGTCATTGGTTTTTTGTTTTTTTTTAACTTATAAAAGAAATCATTGGAGCAAGATACAGAGTTAACCTTTGACAGGCTAAAGTTCACAAGGATGACTTTAAAGCTTTCTTAATTATCATACAGCAATTATTTGCTCACAGACCTCAGAAGTAATGTAAGTATTTGATCAACTCTCTTTCTTGGATCTTCAGAATAGATACATATGTACATTCTTTTTTTTTTTTTAAGACATATGTAGGTGCCTGTGTGTGTGTATATGTGTGTGCTTGTAAAAAGAAAAGAATATAAAAAATTAGTTGGGTTTGGGACCAGATTCATATATATGTATATTCTTTATATTTCTTTGCTTCAGCTTTAATATGACTTTCAGAAAACAGATTTTTTTGTAATCTAAATAAGTTGACCTTTTACTTTTATTTAGCCACATTAACTACACACACACACACACACACACACACACACACACACATATGCTTTTTCTTTGTATCTGCTTATGGTGCTTTTGTATCTATATGTGTATTTTACAGATTTTAGGTGATGGGAAGATCAGAAAGTCAGATGGATATAACTGATATCAATACTCCAAAGCCAAAGAAGAAACAGCGATGGACTCCTCTGGAGATCAGCCTCTCCGTCCTTGTCTTGCTCCTGACTATCATAGCTGTGACAATGATCGCTCTCTATGCAACCTATGATGGTGAGTGTCTCCCCCAGCTCCACGGAAACCAATGCAGAAGGGAAGGAAGCCTTCCTCATACGCTTTTACTGTTTACACTTGGATGATACGCAGATTCACTTAGAAGATATAGCACTTGGATATCAATGAATTTAAAGTAGTGTCCTTATGTTTGAGCTAAGTTATTCATTGCCAAGCACACCCAGTATTTTCGTGTGTTTGAGGCCTATATAATTTTATTTGATTAAGATATACACAATTTTATATCAAACTTCAGTAATAGCCATTAATCAATTTCTGTTGTGTCATTTAAATTCCAAAAGGCTTCGCAGGAGTCTAAGAAGTCTAATTTGAGTCTTGGAAGTTTTTCACAATAGGGATTAGTAACGATTGGCTCTTTAATGGAAAAAAAACATGGTTACAGAATGATAAATGAAGCATTCACCTATTTTAATTTAATATTCCCAGAGTTTAGTTGGTGAATGTGGTATAATAGCACACTCTTTCTTTGTAATCATCCTTAAATTTACCATTTTCCTTTTATTCTTCCATTAGTTTTTAGCTAGTAAAAATAGTATATAATACTTAATGGTCCATCTATTTAATTGGCAGAATTTTTTTAATAACAAAAGGTAAACATAAACTGGAATATTTTATTATCAATATTTATACATCTACTCTCCTTTTTCTAGATGGTATTTGCAAATCATCAGACTGCATAAAGTCAGGTAACAAACTGTCTTTTCATTTACTAGTTTACAGTTAATATATAACATTTAAAAGCAAATGTTATGGAGATGTATACTTTTGCTCTGCTCATGTGCATGCTCATTAAACTTACCTCAACAAAGTCCAATGTATTTAGTTGTTAATTAATCAACTGAAATACTTTGAGAAAACTATCACTACTCTAAGATGATACCAAATTATATGTTTTTATGGGGTGTGCTAGGTAGTTAAAGAAAGATAATGAACACATTAATGGTGTGATTTGAGTAAGTATAAATCATTAGCAGGGTATGAAAAGGAAAGAATGACATATCATTTGTGTGGGGGGGGGGGAGAGACAGAGAGAAAAGTAAAGATGTGAGAAGGACCTTGGAGTGAGTTGGGTTTGGGGGGGAAAAGTATGCAAGAGGGAAACATGAGCAAGAAGAAAGAAAAAAAAGAATAAATCATATGGGATTAACACTTTAAAAAATGGAAAGAAAGGAAAAATCATGTTCTTAAAAAGCAGTAAAAATGTAACCTGATAGATAGGAGCACTTCATACAAAGTGTTGAAAATCCATGGGTCGTGTTTAGTGGTGATAAAGGAGAAATAAGAACTTCCTTGGACAGTGAAGTGGTTGGGCAACAGTTGAGGGATGATTCTGAATGGACTGAGCGAGAAGCGATCATGTGAGCAGAGAGGGGAGAGCAAGCGGAAGATGCCCCAATAAGACAGGCATGAGCTGCAGAATGTTGACCTGTGGTGGGACCCAGGGGTCCGGAGACAACAGGGAGGGTCAACTGGGTGAAGCCAAGGAGTTGTTTAATGGAATGAGGGTTATGAATGCATTAACGTGATATCAAGCTGTAAAACCCAAAAGGACTCTGAATTTTTTGAGGAGGATGCTGCTGTCCACGGTCACCAAAGTACAGAAGCAAGGAGATGAATTCTGAGGTGTGTGTGGTAAGCCAGGCATAGCCTCCAGGTGAGGCGGCAGAGAGGGGCCTAGGAAGCAGGAGTTTGGAACCTCTCAGTTTATAGGTAACAGTAGAAACCTTGCAACTATTTGAGTTTCCAAAAGAAGAAAAGAAGGAGAATAGAGGCTGGAATTAAGAAGACATTAATAACTAGAGTAGAAGGGAAAAATAAAGAGAAAGAGCAGAAACATGCGCAGCCATTGATGTCACAGCAATTATTGTGTTGTGAAAAAACAAGGAGGATTCTTGACCCTTCTACAAGGAGGTAGAGTACAGCAACCTGGAATATGCTCTTTAACCTTTGACAGATGATTTTTTTCCTATCTGATTTTCTGTTATTCTTTAAACTTTGAAGATAATGATGGGAAATTAACTCGGAGTTCTAGGCTGTGCTCTAATGTGCTGAGTGTGTGCCCTTTGGCTATCTGCATGGCTTTTTAAATAGGTGTTTTGCTCTGGGTCTCCATTGTGATAGTCATGCACCCTCCATCATGATGTTTTTGACACAGGGAGTTTAAGAAAGACCTGGTTATAGATTGGATTGTAGCCATTTGCTCTTCAACTTAACAGTGTGTACTTTCCTGTCTGGGGGTTTTAATTAGAAACAAAAAGATGTCTTTATTCCACAGGGAAATGGCTATACAGACACACTGGTTAAGAGATATCTAGGGTCACTGCAGTCAAGTTAATATGAGCTGAGGTTGCTGAAGTTACCATTTCCTCCGTCCAGGTCCCCTTACTTCTCTCTCTCTCTCTCTCTCTCTCTCTCTCTCTCTCTCTCTCT